TGAAGTCATTACCCCAATATACAGCTATGATTTCTATCTTTTCTCAACAATTTCCCTTGGCAATTTTATCTCTTTACACTGTCTTCATCCTTTCTTATTTGAACTAAAAACTTGCCTATCTCCTGGTTGTTCACTCTTTATACTAACTTTCTTTTTTCCATTTCCTTGTACTTTTCTCTGAGAGATTAATTTGCCTGAGGCATTATCATCAGAGATCCTTCAGTGGCTTCCTGCTGTCCAGAAAATGAATCTAAAACCCTTAGTCCAGCTTTTTTGTTTCTCTATTTCTATCAGCTGGATTCTCATAGCCAACTGCTTTCTCAGGCATACTATGTTGCAACCCAATCAGACCACTAAAACAAACTCCCCCAAAAATTCTTTTTGAGGATCCTAAAAGAAGTAAACGAAAAAGGCTGTGAGTGATAACAATATCCACTCGTTTAATGCTGTTGATTTTACTCTTGTATCTTTACTTAGGACCTGTTCATTCTTACTAACAAAAAGTTTAACATGGTTATGTTTTCTATACTCCTATCATAGCCAAATAGTAGCAATAAATTAGAAATAGGAAAGAGATGGCACACTTAACACTAAAAAAGGAAATAGAAAAACTGGATACATATAAGAAAGTCTTCTAAAAAAAGAAAAAGCACTACTACCTAAGAAATCTCAGAACATAAAATCTCTTTGATTACAAATTATTCTAGCTACCCTTGAATCACTAAGAAAAATTCCCCTACAGTCCATAAGCATTACAGAAGAAGGGAGATTAAGTAAATAACATACTTTAGACAAATTTTTATACAATTGGATAAAATAGTCTGGCACTTAAAGGAGTTTAAGTAATCTGGAAATTTCATTTAGAGAGAAGATATTTTTGCCAACCAGACAGACAAAGGAAGCTCTATATCATTCTGCATTTTCCCCAAGAAAGGCCAAAAATAGAAAAAATTAAGTTTGTGAAGGATCTGATATCCCTGGAAGGGGAGGACATGGTATCATTAAATATTATATAAATTCTTCAAGAAAAATAAAAGTTAAATCACTTGAAGTTCACCCCATAACTCACTGTAGACTCCCAGTTAGAATCAAGGGTTTCAACTCTGAATCTTGAACTTTATGCAAATGATTTATTGGCAAAATCAAATGGCATGTTTTTAATATATAGAGGATTGATGATGAAAGAAAGAAGATTCTAGATAGTGGAGATAAGACTACTAGATTTTTGTTTCTATGTATCTGCCCTACCCTCCCCACCAAAACTCTCAAATTGCTAGAGCATTAGAGTCTCCTACTCCTGGAGTTGTACGAGTCACATGAACCTAGTAGTTGTGCACACTGCAGGGGCATACTATAATATCTGTAGGCTCCGCTACCATTCAAAGGTTGACAGAGCCATCTGATAATTTCTTAGATTCTCTTTATACCCACAGCTAATGTAGGTGTTCTCCAGTCCAGAATTCAGACAGAGCTGCATCTTGGCAAATCGTACCTTTCTTTCACTTCCCAACTAGAAAATGAAAGATGGGGCTAGATTGTCTCTAAAGCCTCTTTCAGTTCGAAGATCCTATGAATCTAAAAACAACTATGTTTATTATTATAAGTCACGGTAGCTATTATTTAACAGTCTTCCAATTACTTATGTTCTCAAGCTACTTTAAAAATTTCCTATTCTGGACATTACTGTCAAAATACCTGAAAATTTCTATAATTCTACATATCAAACTTGTTAAAAGAAACAAAAAAATTTAGTATCAGATGCTTAGATGAGGTAATTAATTTTTTCAGTATTTTAAAATATAGGTCAGACAATAATTCTGACATATACAGTAAGTCTTTTAGGATGATTTAAGACCAAAATTGCCTATAAATAGTTATAAAAAATTGCAAAGAACTAAACCAAAATAAAACCAAATAAACCAGTTACTAAACCACACATATGTCCTCAAAAGCTTATGGGAGTCAAAGATTCCGGTAAAAATAACAGAAGAGATGGAAACACAAGTTTCTTATTATCACACTTCATATGTTATAAAACATAATAGCTAACTTATTTTTGGCAAAATGATTAAGAATTGTAACACTCTGGCTTACACAAACTTATTTGATTGTCAAATGCATCTTAAATGGAGCATATCATGCTAACTTCAGGCATGCAAGCACTGTGTTGTCTTAGAGTAGTCCAGAGACACTGAAATTTCAACACTTTGGCAGAGAACACACCACCAATATTAACTGACCCAGGTGTTTAAAGGGGGTGAGGGGGAGGGAATTTCAACAATGTAGCTAATTGAAACCAGAGAAAGCGTCTGAATAATAAAAAGTCTTACAGATGTTTACTATCCGCCTCCCCCCCCAACAAAAAAAGAAGTGACCTTTGGACAATTTATTGCACACACAATTTTCTAGAATATGAAAACTCTATAATCACAGTCTGAGTTATGTCTCCACAAATAAACCAGGTTAAGTTCATGTTTCACCTTTGCTTCCCCTCTTCACCTCTATTCTTGCAAGGGCAAGGACATCTGAATGCAAGACAATAGTCAGAAAGTCATGAAGTTGAATAAGCTATAAGAAAGTACATCAACCTTAAGATGCATTGTACTTTCCCAACAGATGTCCGGAATGCAAGCCCCAAAAGAAAGAAGGGTTAAAAACAATGTGTTGAACAACTGTTTTCAAACACACAAAAGAGAACCATCCATGACATGCAAAAGAGATCTGGAGCAAACATACAAAATCTAAAAGACCTGTGATTAAGTTAATAGACAATGATGAACTAAAAAATGAGAATTGTCTTTCCTATGTTTATAGAATAGTAATGCTTTTATTATTTCAAATAGGCAAGTACCCTTTTTAATGTTTTTAAAGCTTTTATGACAGCTAATAATCAAAAATTATATTTCATATCAATTTGCTACATTTTAACTGACAGGACAAAGTCATTACCTGCCCCAGAAAATAAATTCAGTATTTTAATTTATATATATTCTTATATCCACATGCTTGACTATACACACAGAAGTGAAGTCCTAACTTTAGAATGACAGGGTAGGCAGTTTCTGACATGGCTCCTACTAACCCTCGCCTCCTACTATTCATGATCTTGTGAAATTCCCTCCTCTTGATTGTGGGCTAGAGTTAGTGACTTGATTCTAACATGAATATGGGAAAAGTGACGGGATTTCTCTTCTGTAATTATGACTTCCACCCTACCAGAAGGCTCTCTCTCTGGCTCTTCTCCCAGGCATGCTCTGATGAAGCAAGCAAGAGGCCAACATGTTAAGGACAGTGGTCTCCACCCAGCTACCACTAGTGGACTATGGACCCAGTCCATCAACTCTCAAGGATCTGAAACCTGCCAACAACCTTGTGAGTAAGTTTGGAAGCAATCTATCTCAATCCCGGTCTTCAGATAAGACTACAGCCTTGGAAGACACCTTGGTTACAAGGCTGTGAGAGACCCTAAAGCAGGGACCCTAGGTTGCAGCCAGATTTCTCACCAGAAGCTGAGTGAATAAATGTGTGTTGTTTTACACTGCTACGTTTTGAGACAAGCTGGTGCACCGCAACAGACAAATAATACAGTAGCTAAGCTAAGGACTGAACCAATGATTTTAGTGTCATTTCCATAATAATAATAATAATAATAGTAGTAGTAGTAGTAGCTAATACCTTTAAGGAACTTTTAAGTTCCAGGTACCATTCCTAATATTTACATAATTCCTCACAAAAATCCCTTGAATAACATAGTTATTATTATTCCCATTTTACAGATGAGGAAACTGAAGTAGAATCTCAAAACTAATGTAGAAACTCAATAACTTGTCCAAGGTCACACAGACAACACAATGACAACAAGTTTTGGAAACTGGTTGTCCTGGTTCTAAGTGTCAGAGCTTGTAAGCGACTGGCCAAGTAGGACCACTAAGAGAGACAGGCTGTATGCTATAAAGATGCTAATCACATAACATGGTACTAGAGGAGATACTGAAGGCACAAAAGAGATTAGAAGCTGTGCAAAATGCTAAAGGCAGAAATAAAGCCTCATTAAGATGTCTCATCTAGGGAAAGAAACAAACAAGATAGACACAATACAACAGTGAATGCAGTGCAATCTCGAATTTATTGAACTCTCATGGAAATGAAAAATGCATTTTCATACACCCAATAAAATAAAATTAAAAACCTCCATTTGGTATTAAAAACCACAGCCAGAGAGGCTATGGTTGTACCTTTCCCAAGGGCAGTTATGTGTAAGAAATAAGCGTGCCAAGCTGGTGATAAAAGGAGAAACTCCTAGTGAGCTCCAAGATGCCCCAGGAGATATTTTTATCCCTCAGAGTAAAAAAAGTTGAAATTCTAGAACAAAGAGGTCATGAAGGGATCACCGCCTATCCTGGCTTCATATTACTAGGTTAAACCGTACTCCGTCATACTCCTACATACCCTGTACAAGACAGTAGGTATCGCAACCATTGGTTAGTCTGACTATTAGACTTCAGGTTCTCTTACCTCAAAGACTGTCTTATTCTCCAGGATGTCCTCAAAACATAGCATGGTGCCTGACCCATAGCAAGGGTTTAATATATGTTTCTTGAGTGAAGAAATTAACTATCTTGTGAATCACATTCATTCAATGGGTCATTTTAGTGGTATATGTTAGTGAAAGTACAAACGTTTTTTGTTTTAAATCTCTTGTAGTTCACTCACTTTCCTGGGCACTTTATTTTTTTATTTTTATTTTTTGAGTCGAAGTCTCACTCCGTAGCCCAGGCTGGAGTGCAGTGGCACGCTCACAGCATTATTCTTTGACACACTGTGAATATACACTCACACAGGACCAGAGTAACATAGAGATAAGAATATAGGCAGCTACTAAGTATCTCTCTTTGTTCTATTTACCAATTAAACACGAGCAAAAAAGTAAAGGAAATCTGAGGAGAATTTGTGCAAATGCATAATCAAACACGTACAGTTATCTCCTAAGACATACTTACTGGAAGCTCAGGCTCACGCTTCAACATCTGAAGAGAAATATAGCTGCCTACTGAATGGCCAATGAGCACAAGCTTCATTTCCTTTGGCACATGAGTTCTCAGAAAAGCTAGTTTGTGTTCTATTTGACCACTCAGTCCATAGATGTCCTTAATCTCTTGTGCATTTGGATCTAAAAAAAAAAAAAAAAAAAAAAAAAAAAAGAATGTGTTTTCATTTAGTAAGTAAAAGTAATCACTGAAAAAAAAAATCAAGGAAAAAATCAACAATGATAACAGTAGTTACTGTTTAGCAAAAGCCTACAGTGCGCCAGTTATAGTATTAGGCATTCAGATTACATCAATCAATCCTCAAACAACCTTGGAAAAAAAGTATTATCATCTTCATTCTATACATAAAAATCCCAATGCTCATAGACATCAGGAAACAAACTAACAATCACAGATTTATAAAGTAGGAGAGGCAAGATTCAAATTCAGGACTCTGTTCTCAAAGCCCATGAACTTCCAACTATTCCATGAACTACTGTTAGCTTAGTCCAGTGGCTCTCAAACGAGCTTGCATCAGAATACCCTGGAAGGTTTATTAAACATATTGCTAGGCCCCATCACAAGAGTTTCTGACACCATAGCTCTGGCTCGAGGCCTGAGAATTTGCATTTCTAAATTTCTAGGTAATGTTGATGAGCTGATCACACATTGAGAACCACTGGATTAGGTTAACTTATACCATTAATAAAAACCAAGAAAGTCCACAACACTTGCTTCATTACTTGAAATAATTTTTGTTTCTTTGAAGAACTCAGACTGAAAAACTTAAGCAGAAATATTATAAACTGTTCCTTTTAACCAGCACAATTCTGACCTGAACTATCCTCCCTTCCAGTTGCAAATAAACTGTCTTCTAGATTCTTCAAGAATGAATTAAAATTTTAGCTAATCCTCAAGAAAAATGAATGAGTCCTCCTCTGTACTTAAACAGTACTCGACTCTTTTATTATACCACTGTACCAAATTTGTATATTGTCTGTTTATATGTTTATTTCCTTTCTTGGACTGTGAGTTCCTTGAAAGCAAGAGCCATCTTTTCATCTGTGTCCTCTGTGACTAGTACACAATAAATATTATTGTTGAGTGAAAATATGAACTGGCTAAATGATTTCTGAGAATGCATGCAGCTCTAATATTCAATATTAGAATATCTTCAATAGGCTTTCCCTATGAAAAACATACAACCCAATGAAGGGTATAATATTACAAAAGATTACAAGGCAGTCAACTGCTGCTTCCTAAAATTTGAATGACTGGAACACCAAATTTCTTTCTCTAATGACTTCTGAAAGGTATTCATGTAAATTATAATCCATATGGCTCATTCAAAAGGCACCTCAAATTCATGAAAAATCACTGGTTAGTTTATCTGTATGTGTATGTGTGTGTGTGTGTTTTTCTTTCAGTGCTCATCTCCCTTTGTTATTCTAAGTTCTAGTTATCCTATATACTTGCAACAAGTGTTATTTTCTGAGAAGTCTTTTTATGATTCATTTGAGGTGAGGAGTGAATTAGCTTTTCTTTCAGTTTCCACAACATTCCCTATATAAATAGGTGTAACTTACCATACTACTTTCAATTTACTCCTAGTTTATAATTTACATGTTACCCTCATCTGTTCCTCAAAGTCCAACGTACAGTTGTTGAAAAGCTTTTTAGTGAATCAATGAGGCTTACTCCCCTATTTCTATGGCACCACTAATATCCAAGGTAAGACATATTCTGCCCTAAATTATCTTCTCAAATCAGCTAAGAATTCATTCTCCCTAACAGGGAAGTTCAACATAAAACAGAATTGGGAAGTGACAGAATCTGGAACCCAACTTTGTTAGTTTCTAATAGCTCCAAATCCAAATTTTTATTCATTAAATATTTATATCTAGGTTTCAATAGTTTATATCCTGCTTCTCTTAGCACTCTGCTCAAAGGTGATCATATCATTCTCTGACATTAAAAAAAAACTCATAATATTTGCAACGCAAGTTCTTTTTCAAAATATGCAATATTTGAAAATGTCAGCTGGGCATGGTGGCTCATGCCTGTAATCCCAGCACTTTGGGAGGTGGAAGTAAGAGGATTGCCTGTGCCCAAGGGTTTGAGACCAGCCTAGGCAATTTGGTGAGACCTCATCTCTACAATAAATCAAAAAATTAGCCGGACATGGTGTTACATGCCTGTGGTTCCAGCTACTTGGAAGGTTGAGGTGGAAAAATCGCCTGAGCCCAGCAGGTTGAGGCTGTGGTGGCCCTGAGCATGCCACTGCACTCCAGCCTGGGCAACAGAGTAAGACTCTGATTCAAAAAAAAAGAAAGAAAAAAGACAATGTCGAAGTCTTCCTTTTACTGGGACAGTAGGTACAGTAGAAAGATCTCGGGCATTGGAGATAAATCTGGGTTTAAAGTTTAGCACCTCCCTAATTGCATGACTTGGGTAAATCTTTTAAGCTAGGCTTCTGTCTCCTCATATAAAAAATAGAGATAATAACGCTGACCTTCCAAGGCTGCTGTTCAAATTTCTGGCATAAATTGTTTGATAAATAAAAGCTATGATTTGGTTGGTTGCGGTGGCTCACGCCTATAATCCCAGCACTTTGGGAGGCCAAGGTGAGAGGATCGCCTGAGCCCATGGGTTCAAGACAAAGCCTGGGCAACATGGCCAGACCTCATCTCAATAATAAATCAAGAAAAAATTAGCTGGGTATGGTGGCATGTACCTGTGGTTCCAGCTACTTGGAAGGCTGAGGTAGAAGGATTACCTGAGCCCAGGTCGAGACTGTGGTGGCTATAAGCATGCCACTGCACTCCAGCCTGGGAAACAGAGTGAGATGCTAACTCAAAAACAAAAACAAAAATCCAAAAAAGTTATGATTGCTATAATTTTAATTCCTATCATTTAAGGCCTCCCCCAAATATATACCAAGAACATTTACATGGTTAGCGCAAAGATAAAGAAAATGAGCTAAATGCAACAAACATCCTAAAACTTCACGAACACCACAAATAAGGTCCTAAAACATTGTATTTCAGATAAGATTTAATGGACATTATAATTCAGAATTCTTCAGAGGTAGATCTGGCTTTACCTCTAAGAACTTCTCAGTAGATTTCCAAGATAAACACACTATTTGTTAGTGTTTACAGAAGCAATGATGTTAATGGGGAAAGTACTTTCTATAAATAAATAGTGAAGAAAATTTAAATGTGCTTTTTTGAAACTTTCTAGCAAATAAAATACTAGATATTATTTTACTACCCAAAATGAAAGGTTAAAAAGATTATATACTTGACTGCATGTTTTCATTTCTATTATTATTTTAACATATTTTGAAAAATGCTAGTAATCATTAACTTACTCTCTATAAAATATGGTAAAAATTACATTCAATTGTATCAAAATCAGAAGATAATACAGAAATCCTTTTGCCATTCTCTCTATAGGGGAAATGTACTCTGAGTTACAATCAACTAAGCACATTTGGATTCTAATTTATTTCTAAATTGAGAACTGCTTGAACTGAGAGATGATAATCCAATTCACTATACTATTATCAGTAAATTGTCCTGAATATGATACTGACAATTCTATCCTAGCAAATGAGACTACTTCTTAGACCTCTCTCTACCGGAATTCACTTCACAGCTCACCTATCAATTCTAGAGTTTATTTCACAAGATATATACCACCTCCTCGAAGTAGTGCATAGAAAAATTAAATACTATCAGTAGTCTACATTTACTTTTCATCTAATTCCTCAAACTGTTCCAGTTATTAAAACTGTTGCTAATTTTAAATTCCCTTACAGCATCAGAATACACATAAATCTGATTATTTTCTTCTATTTTACATGAACTAAATTGAATATTCTGACAGAAAACAGTGATTAAGTGGCCCTTGGTAATATTGAAAATACAGATATAAATATAATATACACCCTTGCCTTCAAAGAGTTTACAGACATAGACAAAACATAATTATAGATAAAAACACAATTATAATTAAGCATCTTATAAGAACAGGGTTTACTGGATCACAATAGTAAGGTAATATCCCTTTGGATTCATAAAAAGTACTGTACCTTTCTCGAAGTTACCCAAAATAATGAAAGATATTCTTTACTACATACACATTACTATAAATGTATAAATTTAACTACATATTTGAATCCACGCATAATTGTCTAAATTTAACTATTATTCATATACATGAGTATCTAGCTACTCATTGAATATAAATGGATATGTTTAACTATGTATCTTCTTCATAGAAACAGTTTCTACAGGTCATTTCTGACCACAGAACTGACAAAACTGGAGATTTATCACTACAAGAGCCAGAATTTGCTCAACTATTAAACTCTTCCATCCTGTTCCCCATAATTGCTTCAAAGCTATATCTTAATAATAACTAATTAAACAACTAGCATCTGAAAATCTAAAGGCTAAAAGCAGTACTTCATATTTTGAAGAATGCTTTGAGTAAGGTGAAAACACAGTTTACTCCTTAGGTAAATTTTTTAAAAAACACATAAAATAAAACCATATGTTGTTTATCATACACACATATATATAAAACCAAAAATATTAAAAGAGTCACGAAGTATTTACTCTAAATTCATGATAGAACTGGAGATGGGATACAAAGAAGATATATTTTTCTATATTGTTTGATTTCACTTTATTAACAAAAATATTGAAGTAATTATGGAAGTATTAATTATCAACTGTAATAGAATCTTGGACTGCTAAACAATTGTACTTTTCTATATTTTTAAAAATTTCTCAAAATAATTTATTTTAAATAGGAATGCTTTGACGTGCTATTCATAGATATCTTACAACTATTTTATAGGTGAAGCCACCTTTAATTTCTTTATTACTCACATGGAAAACAGAAGCCCTAAATGGCTGTCTGGGTTCACGTTAAACATTAGTGAAGTCAGTAGATGAAAACTGGTCCATAATCCTTTATGCTTACTTGATTTACCAATCCAAAAGGCCTTCTTTTAATAACTGTCCCAAGTTCACTAAGCTGATCTGAGAGTACACTTAGTTTAGTCATCTATCCCCAGATCCCTGAGTATTCTATAAGCTCCTTGTCCCTAAGCACTGGTGCAACTCTGCTA